TTTCATCCTGAGGGCAACTAACACTAAGGTATACAAACCTTCTAGAGAAGTTGTGGGCAGGCTTGGGCCCTTTCTTCAGGTGTTTTGGACTCCAATTCCCAGAATTCCTGATGGCCCCTTCTTTTTTCCCCCTCAGCCGCTTAAGCCTCTCTCAGACTGAGGCCTTTCTCCCACTGAGGTAAACAGGCCTTCTCACAGACAGGCCTCTCCATCCTGAGGGCAACTAATACCAAGGCATACAAACCTTCTAGAGAAGTTGTGGGCAGGCTTGGGCCCTCCCTTCAGGTGTTTTGGACTCCCAACTCCCAGAATTCCTCTTCCTTTTCCCCCTCAGCCGCTTAAGCCTCTCTCAGACTGAGGCCTTCTCACAGACTGAGGCCTCTTTCATCTTAAGGGCAACTAACACTGAGGCATACAAACCTGCTAGAGAAGTTGGGGCCTCTCTTCAGGTGTTTTGGACTCCAATTCCCAGAATTTCTGATGGCCCCTTCCTTTTCTCCCTCAGCCGCTTAAGCCTCTCTCAGACTGAGGCCTTTCTCCCACGGTTGGAAACTTAGGCCTCTTCATCCTGAGGGCAACTAACACTAAGGCAAACAAACCTGCTAGAGAAGTTGTCGGCAGGCTTGGGCCGTCCCTTCAGATGTTTTGGACTCCAACTCCCAGAATTCCTGACAGCCCCCTTTCCCCCTCAGCCGTTTAAGCTTTTCTCAGACTGAGGCCTTTCTTCCACTGAGGTAAACAGGTCTTCTCACAGACTGAGGTCTTTTCATCCTGAGGGCAACTAACACTAAGGCATACAAACCTTCTAGAGAAGCTTGGACTCCAATTCCCAGAATTTCTGATGGCCCCTTCCTTTTCTCCCTTAGCTGCTTAAGCCTCTTTCAGACTGAGGCCTTTCTCCCACTGTGATAAACTAAGGCCTTCTCACAGACTGAGGCCTCTTCATCCTGAGGGCAACTAACACTGAGGCATACAAACCTGCTATAGAAGTGGGCAGGCTTGGGCCCTCCCTTCAGGTGTTTTGGATTCCAACTCCCAGAATTCCTCACGGCCCCTTTCCCCCCCTCAGCCGCTTTAGCCTCTCTCAGACTGAGGCCTATCTCCCACTGAGGTAAACTGAGGCCTTCTCACAGACTGAGGCCTCTTCATCCTGAGGGCAACTAACACTGAGGCATACAAACCTGCTATAGAAGTGGGCAGGCTAGGGCCCTCCCTTCAGGTGTTTTGGATTCCAACTCCCAGAATTCCTCACGGCCCCTTTCCCCCCCTCAGCCGCTTTAGCCTCTCTCAGACTGAGGCCTATCTCCCACTGAGGTAAACTGAGGCCTTCTCACAGACTGAGGCCTCTTCATCCTGAGGGCAACTAACACTGAGGCATACAAACCTGCTATAGAAGTGGGCAGGCTAGGGCCCTCCCTTCAGGTGTTTTGGACTCCAACTCCCAGAATTGCTACTTTTTTTTCCCTCAGCTGCTTAAGCCTCTCTCAGACTGAGGCCTTTCTCCCACTGAGGTAAACTAATACTGAGGCCTTCTCACAGACTGAGGCCTCTTCATCCTGAGGGCAACTAACACTAAGGTATACAAACCTGCTATAGAAGTTGTGGGCAGGCTTGGGCCCTCTCTTCAGGTGTTTTGGACTCCCAGAATTCCAGACGGCCCCTTTCTTTTCCTCCTCAGCCGCTTAAGCCTCTCTCAGACTGAGGCCTCTTCATCCTGAGGACAACACTGAGGCATCTTACTTACTTTACTTAGGCGATCCCTTGTAGTCCGAGGATGATGGTCCTCCAGGGTCCGTGTCCTGGCAGTGGATCCAGAGGTGACCGTAGAGCCCTATTCTTGACCTGCATCTTCTCCTGCAGTGAAGGCATCGGTTTCCAGATGGTCAGTGTTGGTTTGATGCGCCTTCCTCTTGGCACGTTTCTCTCTTTCGCCCTCCATTCATGCCTCTTCAAATTCTACAACACTGCTGGTCACAGCTGACCTCCAGCTGGACGCTCAAGAGCCAGGGCTTCCCAGTTCTCAGTGTCTATGACACAGTTTTCAAGGTTGACTTTAAGCCCATCTTTCAATCTCTTTTCCTGCCCGCCAACATTCAGTTTTCCGTTCTTGAGTTTGGAGTAGAGCAACTGCTTTGGGAGACAGTGGTCGGGCATCCAGACAACATGGCCAGCCCAGCGGAGTTGATGGCGGAGGACCATTGCTTCAATGCTGGTGGTCTTTGCTTCTGAGGCATACAAACCTACAGGCACACCTGCTTATGTTGAACTGCAGCTTTTGCTGAGTCATTGCATCCATTTAACCCCTCAGCCGCTGAGGGGGGAAAGGACAGGGCCTGAGGCTGTCAGGAATTCTGGGAGTTGGAGTCCAAAACACCTGGAAGGAGGAAGGGAAAAGGAAAGGACCCGAGACTGTCAGGAATTCTGGGAGTCCAAAACACCTGGAGGGAGGGAAAAGGAACGGGACTGAGGCTGTCAGGAATTCTGGGAGTTGAAGTCCAAAACACCTGAAAGGAAGGCCAGAGTTTGCCCAGGCTTGAGTTAAAGCCCATTGAGATCCTACACAACAGGACAAAATGGAAGGTGCTCAGAGGAGGGCCATCAAAAGGGTCAAAGGTTTGAAGCCCAAGCAAAGGCAGCTGAGAGAAGGGGACCTGAGAGCCACGTTTACATACCTGAAAGGAGGTCCCTTTGAGGTGGAATAATGGGTAAGCTTCGTTTCAGCAGTTCCAGAGACCAGGACTCAATGAAGCCATGGGTTCAAGTGGCAGGAAAAGGGATCCTACCTCAACACTGGGAAGAACCTCCTGGAGGTAAGAAGAGCAATTCGCCAGTGAAATACACTGTTCAGGACCTGCCTATCTTCGTGAGCGTATCTTCCCCTATGCCACACGGTCTCTAAGATCTTCTGGGGAGGCTCTTCTCTCGCTCCCACCCCTGTCTCAGGTGTGGTTGGTGGGGACGAGAGAAAGGGCATTCTCGGTGGTGGCCCCTTGTCTATGGAATTTCCTCCCCGGGAGATTGATGTCCTTTGAGATGGGTATTTATTTTAGGAGCCACATCAGGAGTGTATGATGGGGTGGGATATCAGTTTGAACCAAACATTTCCTCACAGCAAATGATGTGTAATTGCTCAAAAATCTTTGAGGACTGTTGAAAACCTCCAGGCAGAGGCTTATTTACTTAGGCGATCCCTCATGGCCTGAGGATGATGGTCCTCCAAGTCTAGTATTTTGGCAGTGTATCTGTAGGTGGCTGTGGAGCCCTATTCTTGATCCAAATGTTGTCCCACAGTGAGGACATCGGTTTCCGGATGGAAGGTGGTCCCGGTCAGGGTTGGCTCGATGTGCCTGCATCCTCTTGGCATGTTTCGTGCCTCTTCGAATTCTGTAGCACTGCTAGTCACAGCTGGCCTCCCGCTAGAGTGCTCAAGGGCCAGTTCTCTCTCGGTGTCTAAATAACAGTTTTTAAGGTTGGCTTTAAGCCCATCTTAAAATCTCTTTGCCTGTCCACCAGTGTTACATTTCATAGAATCCTAGAGTTGGAAGAGACCTCGTGGGCCATCCAGTCCAACCCCGTTCTGCCAAGAAGGAGGAAAATTACATTCAAAGCATTCCCTACAGATGGCATTAAGTAGTTCCTTATTCCCTGTCAGCATTACCCCATCTTCTCCTCACAGAGGCCCTATCATCTCCTTGTTCTTCCTTTTTCTACTGATGTAATCAAAGAAGCCTTTTTTATTGTTTTTAACCTCCCTGGCAAGCCTGAGCTCATTTTGTGCTTTAGCCTTGCGAACCTTTTCCCTACAGGAGTTGGCTATTTGTTTGAATTCTTCTTTGGTGATTTCTCCCTTTTTCCACTTCTTGTGCATGTCTCCTTTGAGTCAGCACAGTTTGAAATTCTTTGGATATCCATTCTGTCTTCTTTGCACTTGTCCTATTTTTTTTCTCTTTGTTGGCACTGTTTGCAATTGCGCCTTGAAAACTCCCATCCATCCGTAACTCCCTTATCGGGATGCTGCTCAGTACTTCCTTCACCTTTTGGAAGTTAGCTCTCCTAAAGTCCAGAATGCGGGTTTGACTTGTCTTAGTTTCAGCCTTTCTTCGTATCGTAAACTGCAGGAGGACATGGTCACTCACCCCTAAGGATCAAACCAGGAACAAGCTTTTTCATATTTTGCTATATACTGTTACAGGCTTCAGTAAATGGACATGGGTGCAGCCTCGCCCCAGCCCAGCCCGGCCGTGCCTCCGACAGAGAAGATGCTGAACTATTTTCAGAATACTTTATTTTGTACATACATATTTGTTAGCACATGGCTGCTGCCTCAGTTCAGCCCAACCAACCAACGAGGAGTGTGTGCAGAAGGAAGGCCTGGGGAGCAGAAGGAGGGGTGCAGGGGTCACCTTGGCGGAAAGGCCTCTGGTTGGAGCTGCTGCTTGCCCCCAGCTGAAGACGGCCTATTTGGGTGGCAAGAAGGAAGAGGGCAAATCCCCACACGTGGAGGGAGAGGCAGCTGCGGAAGAGGCAGGCATCCCCAAGGAATGCCAAATAAGCTGCGCCTCCCTCCCGGCCACTCTACCTGGTGTACTACCAAAGAGGGAGGATGGGAGCCAGGTCCAGAGCAAGCAGGCAGAAATAAGCCCCTTTTCAGAGGACAGCCAGCGGGAAATGGCAGCTCTGTGCGGGAGGAATTGCAACAAGATCGCCCTGTATCCACGCTCCCCCAGGTCAAGGAAGGAAGGGAGGGACAAAGACCTGGCCGAGAGAAAAGGTGGCTGAAGATGTCAATTCGGACCCATTGCAAAGCTGGCGTGAACCAGGCTCCCCCTGCCCTATATGCACTCCCTAGTTATGCAACTCCTGGCGAAGGCGGGACCTCCTCTCCCGGTGAAACTGGTGGCAGCGCAAGGACACCTCTGCTCCCCAAAGTGCAACCCTCCACACCCATCTGCAGGCATTTATTTGTCTGCTGAAGCTTGTGCTTCTGACCCCCCCCCCCCCCCCCCCCCCCAGGAATTGTAGAGACAGAAATTGGGAAGGGAAGGAAAGGAAGGGGTAGCCTCGGCCTCTTCCCTGGACAGTGATAAAGTGCAGAGAGAATCCAGGGAAGCGAGCGAGGGAGACGGAGGGCAAGGAGGGACAGAACGAGGGCCCCTAAGGCCGGACAGGGAGGGCAAGAGCATTTGCCAAAGGAAGCAGGCGACAAGCGAGCTGGAGCTACAGAGCCCACCCCAGAGCCAGCCCCGCTTCCCCCGCAGGAAAGACCAGAAATGTATGGCAACCCCATGGAGGAGGAGGAGGAGCTGACCAAGCTGAACTCCTCCACACACTCCAGGAAACACCCCGAACCCGAACGCGTAGCTGCCTTGGTTGGTTGCAATTGGCACCATCACACACAGCTGCCGGAGCCCCATAACCCTTTGCGGGCAGGGAGGGGGGAGGGGCCCTGCCGAAGGGCCAGCCCTCCCCAAGCGCATTGTCCACCCCTTTCGGGCAGCAGGTGGGCCGGAGGGAAACGCGCCCCCTCCCCCCGCCCGCCCCCGGGGCTACTGCAGGTATCGGTAGGCCTTGAAACAGTGGTTGCCGGAGTCTGCCACCACCACGTGTCCGTCAGAGGTCAGGGCCAGGCCCTGCGGCCCATACAGCGGGTCCGCCGTGGTGTTGATGTAGGACAGGAAGGAGCCCGAGCTGTCGAAGACCTGGAACGAGAGGAAGGGCAGCCATGAAGGCAAAGGCGACAGGCCAGAGGGTATCATGGCATGGTCTAAATGTGTTTGTGGCACGCTGTGCTCCCAGGACTGCAGCTGCCCGCATGGAGAAAAATGGGCTTCGGCAAGAAAGATGGAAGTGCCTCAGTGCAAATGTAAGGCACAGTAGCCTTCTCACAGACTAAGGCCTACCTCACACTGTGAGGCCTACTCTCACAGACTAAGGCCTACCTCACACTGTGAGGCCTTCTCTCACAGAGTAAGGCCTACCTCACACTGTGAGGCCTTATCTCACAGACTGAGGCCTACCTCAAACTGTGAGGTCTTCTCACACAGACTAAGGCCTTCTCTCACACTGTGAGGCCTTCTCTCACAGACTAAGGCCTACCTCAAACTGTGAGGCCTTCTCTCACAGACTAAGACCTACCTCAAACTGTGAGGTCTTCTCACAGAGACTAAGGCCTTCTCTCACACTGTGAGGCCTTCTCTCACAGACTAAGGCCTACCTCAAACTGTGAGGTCTTCTCACACAGACTAAGGCCTTCTCTCACACTGTGAGGCCGTCTCTCACACTGTGAGGCCTTCTCTCACAGACTAAGGCCTACCTCACACCGAGGCTTCTCTCACAGACTGACCTTTCTCTCTCTGACTGACGGATACTAAGCTACAGACACACCTGCTTATATTCCCACCTCTGGGAATCCTGTTTGACTTGCCCATTACAAAATGCTTCTGTGGAGCCAGAAAGGGGGCAGAAAGAACAGCAAGCGGGACGGAGAATGGACTGGAAAGTAGTCCCCACATACATCTGCCTTGGTGGAGGAAGTGGGGTCAATTGGAACAGGCAAGGGCAAACCTCAACCCTCCATAGAATCCTTGAGTTGGAAGAGACATCGTGGGTCATGCAGTCCAACCCCATTCTGCCAAGAAGCAGGAAAATCGCACTCTAGGTGATTTGGACTTCAGCATGGGCCAAAGTTTTCCCGTGCCTGCTCAAGGGCATCACTTTAGGAATCCGAGACATCTGAAGGAGATGAGGTTCCCTACTGCTTTGCAGCAAATCAATGGAAATTGAAGCACGACAACCCATAAAGGAGTTGCTGACAAACTGCAGGGATAAAGCTTGACTTCAGGAGCTTCTTTGTAGCATGGTCTGCCCAGAAAAAGGGTGGAGTGTCTGAAACTAGGTCTAGATATGTTGGTGTTAGGCATGCGTATGTAAGAGAATTAGTTAGCGAAGGTCTAAACTATGTAAGAAGTGAGGAAAATTTTGCAGAAGTATTGACGAAAGCTTTAGGTGAAGAAAAGTATCTAAGGTTTTCAGAAATGTTGGGTTTAGTCAGTGCATGAGAAGGGGTGTCAGGTTTTACAATGTATTGTAATCTAATATAGCCGAGTCATGCACTGCTAATAGGCTTCTATTGGAAATGCTGAGTATGTATTAACTGTATATAGAACTTCATTTGGGGAATGTGTTCTGGCCTAGTCCAGGTGATTGTGAATGATGTAATCCTGGGTCTGAGTTAAGTTAATGAGTTGGGAACCAATCAGAGATTGCTATGTGTAATTGTATAGAATTGTATATAAGGAAGTCATGTACAGTGTATATTTCTCCTTGTGCTGTGATGTTGTTCGTCGAAGGCTATATGTAATTAAAGAACCTGTCTGCTAAGACAAGATATAACTGTATGCTGTGGTAAGTTTGTAATGTCATCTAGACTGGGGGAAAGACAATGGTAAAACTGACAATGGCGGGCATTTGCTCAAGTGTCTGTAAAAGAGTTCCAGAGTGGCTGCAGGCTGTGGGAGCAGTTGACTGAAAATACTGTGCAGGAAGAAGCTACTGGAAAGCGCTGAAGTTGTGCAACTGATCTGTTGCTGAACTGTGAAGTTAATCTCAACAAGGGTGGAAGCCCCCTGCCCGCACCTGGGAGTCCTTATGGGCCTGGCCTGACGTATCTCTCCATGGAAACCCACCAGGGGTAAGAGCTACTGGGTGACCCTCCTATAGGCCCCACTCATTCCCCTCTTCCTACTCTGAGACTGACTTCCCCGACCTGCCCAACCGAGCCGATCCCCCACATACCTGGATCCGGCTGTTGCCCCAGTCGGCCACGATGATGTTCCCGTTGGAGTCCACAGCCACACCGGTTGGGGCGTTGAACTGCCCGTTGCCTTCACCGTGGGACCCAAACTTGAAGAGGAACTCCCCGTCGGCGCTGTACACCTGAGGAACAAGACAGACAACACATCTTGGCCGAGTTCCTGCAGACCCAGCATTTTGGTCAGGCCTCACTTGACCTCTTAGATAGTGGAGAGCCTGACCAGCTTGACTGGATTTGCCCAAGGTTGGGGGGTTCACTGCCCCTGCAGTTCCTGCAAAGGATTCTTACTCTAAACCAGTGGTTCTCAACTTGTGGGTTCCCAGATGTTTTGGCCTTCAACTCCCAGAAATCCTAACACAGTGGTTCTCAACCTTCCTAATGCTGCGACCCCTCAATACAGTTCCTCATGTTGTGGTGACCCCCAACCATAACATTATTTCCATTGCTACTTCATATCTGTAATTTTGTTATGTATCGTCATATGAATATCTGATATGCAGGATGTATATTCATTCATTCACTGATACACCCAAATTTGAATACTGATGGGGTTGGGGGGGATTGATTTTGTAGTTCACCTACATCCAGAGATCACTGTGGACTCAAACAATTATGGATCTGGACCAAACTCTACACGAATACTCAATATGCCCAAATGTGAACACTGGTAGAGTTTGCGGAAAATAGATCCTTGACATTCGGGAGTTTTAGTTGCTGGGATATATAGTTCACTTACAATCAAAGAGCATTCTGGACTCCACCAATGATGGAATTGAACCAAACTTGGCACACAGAACTCCCATGAACAAGAGAAAATACTGGAAGGGTTTGGTGAGCATTGACCTTGGGTTTTGGAGTTGTAGTTCGCCTACATCCAGAGAGCACTGTGGACTCAAACAATGATGTATCTGGACCAAACTTGGCACAAATACTCAATATGCCCAAATGTGAACACTAGTAGAGTTTGGGGAAAATAGACCTTGACATTTGGGAGTTGTAGTTACTGGGATATATAGTTCACTTACAATCAAATAATATTCTGAACCTAACCGATGATAGAATTGGGCCAAACTTCCCACACAGAACCCCCATGACCAACAGAAAATACTGTGTTTTTCTGATGATCTTTGGCGACCCCTCTGACACCCTCTTGTGACCCCCCTCGGGGTCCCGACCCCCAGGTTGAGAACCACTGTCCTAACAGCTGGTAAACTGGATGGAATTTCTGGGAGTTGGAGGCCAAAACACCAGGGCACCCACAGGTTGAGAACTACTGGTCTACACCTGTGCACGAAGACACTGGCATCAGGTGCCAAGAGAAGGGACGGCAACAGAGTGAACACAGTGAAGAGCCAGGGAAGCAGGAGAGAAGCACGATGAAGGAGTCACCCAGGCAAGAGCCACATTTACTCAGGGGAGCTGCGCTTAGATGACCGCCTGCAAGTCACCTTTGAAAAGTACAGCTGCCCTGAGCCATTGCTTTTGTGCTTTTGTGTATCTGGCACACAAAAGCTCCACTTTCAGTTCAGACCCCATCTATCTTCGCAATCATATCATCTATGAACCGGCGCGAACTCTAAGATCCTCCAAGGAGGCCCTCCTCTCGCTCCCACCTCCGTCACAAACATGGTGGGTGGGGACGAGAGAGGGCCTTCTTGGTAGTGGCCCCCCACCTCTGGAACGCCCTTCCAAGGGAAATAAGACAGGCCCCATCCCTCCCCTCTTTTCGTAAGAGTTTGAAGACTCTTTCCCCAGCATCAGCCCCAAAGGGAAGGCTGGTGGCAAGGTGGAAGGAGCTCCGTCCTCACCTTCACAGAATGGTTGTGGAAGTCGGTCACCACGATCTCATTCTTGTTGTTGACAGCAACAAAGTGTGGCCCTGAGAAAAGAAAAGCAGGAAGAGTTATGGGTCCTTTGCGTGTCACAGCTTGAGGGTGGAGGAGGAGGTCAAGAAAAAGCCACAGGAACAGTATACAGCAGGCATGTGCAAACTTTGGCCCGTCAGGGGTTTTGGACTCCAACTCCCACCATTCCTAATAGCCTCAGGCCCTTTCCTTTTCCCCTCAGTCACAGAAAAGGAAGGGGCCTGAGGCTGTTAGGAATGGTGGCAGTTCTCACACCAAGCCTTCTCACACTGTGAGGCCTTCTCTCGCAGACTAAGGCCTACCTCACACTGTGAGGCCTTCTCTCACATGCTGGGCTTCTTTCTTATGCAGATAAACAGCTTCGCTCTCACAGAGCTTCCTTTCACACCAAAGTTACACAGTAGATTCACACACAGCTTTACACGTGAGGCCTTCAACCTGGAAGTTCTCTCACCAAAGTTCTCACACCAAGCCTTCTCACACTCTTGAGGCCTTCTCTCACAGACTAAGGCCTACCTCACACTGTGAGGCCTTCTCTCACAGACTAAGGCCTACCTCATACAGAGGCTTCTCTCACAGACTAAGGCCTACCTCACATCGTGAGGCCTTCTCTCACAGACTAAGGCCTACCTCGCACTGTGAGGCCTTCTCTCACAGACTAAGGCCTACTTCACACTGTGAGGCCTTCTTTCACAGACTGAGACCTTTCTCCCACTGGGGTTTACCTCAGACTGACGGCTACTAAGCTACAGGCACACCTGCTTCTATTGAACTGCAGCTTTTGCTGAGTCATTGCATCCATTTAACCCCATTCAGTGCTTGAGTCATATTTTTGTAATTTAAAATATCTAGTTTTTAATATTTCACCATGGGGAGAAGGCCCCCTTCCTTTCTCTTCTCAGTGGGTCTCGCTCATGGGTGATGACCCCAGAACCTCCAGCCTCAAAGCACCTGAGACTCTTTAAGGGGAACATCAGGCTGTCTGTACAGGATAAGAGTAAGGTCTAGCATAGGCATGGGCAAACTTTGACCCTCTGGGTGTTTTGGATTTCAACTCCCACCATTCCTTTTCCCCCTCAGCCGCTTAAGCTAGATGATTAGAGTGATAGACCTAAAAGATGCCTACCTTCATATCCCAACAAATAGATATAACGCTTAAGCGGCTGAGGGGGAAAAGGAAAGGGCCTGAGGCTGTTAGGAATGGTGGGAGTTAGAGTCCAAAACACCTGGAGGGAGGTCCCAAGTTGGCCCATGCCTGCTCTAGAAGATCCTAGATTTCCCTAAGGCACTCTCCTCCCTTGAAATCTCTATGTCCCCCAACATGACCTGATCTGTGAACAATCACATCCGCAAAAGTCTGAACTGCGAATGTGGAAGGACCACAGGACAGAAAAGGATTGCAGACGTCTGGCATCAGCCGTCTTTCTTCTGCCAAGGAGGCACGCGTAAAGCCCAGCCACGGAGGAACGAGTACCGACTTCGAAAGAGAGAAGGGCGGCGAAGGGCCGACGTTAGTAACCACACCAGCTGCCAGGATGTTAATGAAGACGGGCTGGAGGAAGTGGCCTTCTGGCAGCAAGCCCAGGCGACAGAGCGGGAAGCAAGGCAAGAACCTTCCGAGGGATGCCCCGGGGTTCTGCCCGGAGAGTACTCACCAGCCCGGCCCCGGCAGAAGCCAAAGGCATGCATAACGAGAGGAAACCTGCCTGTGCATTACCATCGAGGGTACCTGCAAACTGGCGCTCCGAGGTCCCGCGGCTGCCGAACTTGGTCACAAGCTTCCCGTTGGACTGGAAGATGAAGACGCAGCAGGCCTTGTTGTCCACCACGATGATGTGCCCGTTGCGGTCCACGGCCACCCCCTTTGGTCCCATCAAGCGGCCAGCCCCGATCTTGGTCTGGGAGGCAAAATAATAATAATAATAACAACAACAATTATTATTTATTTTTATTATTTATTTCAGAGGTTTATATACCGACCTTCTCTCCTCTTTTGAGGGACTCAGACCGGTTTCCAACCATAAAAACACATACAATCGGTAAAAACATCATAATTCATATTACAATAACACATTAAAACAACAAATATATCCAAAACTACAGTGGTCAGTCGTCATACTAAAAAACAATTATACATCATCTTCCATCCATGTCTTAGGGTGTTGTCTCACTCATCAAAATCCTGTCTCCATAACCACGTCTTCACCTGTTTCCTAAAAGTCAGGATAGAAGGGGCGGTTCTGATCTCCGGTGGAAGAGAGTTCCAGAGTCGCGGGGCCACCACCGAGAAGGCCCTGTCCCTCGTCCCCACGTGCTCGTGAGGCCGGTGGGACCGAGAGCAGGGCCTCTTCAGACGAACAACAACAACAGATCCCAAATGTAAACTCTGCAAAGAAGCAGGTGAAACAAGGGATCCCATCCTCAGCTGCTGCAAGAAGATTGTGCAGACAGACTACAAGCAGAGGCACAACAACGTTGCTCAGGTGATTCATTGGAACCTGTGTCACAAAGACCACCTGCCTGTGACAAAGAACTGGTGGGATCACAAGCCAGAAAGAGTTACAGAGAATGAACACATAAAACTACTCTGGGATTCAGACAGACAGAGTTTTGGAGCATAATACTCCTGACCTCATAATCGTGTTAATTTGGATTGTCGATGTCGCAATCCCAGGATCGCCAATGTCACAATCCCAGGTGACAGCAGGATTGAAGAGAAACAACTGGGAAAGCTGACACAATATGAGGATTTAAAGATCGAACTGCAAAGACTCTGGCACAAGGTGGTCCCAGTGGTGATCGGCACACTGGGTGCAATGCCTAAAGACCTTGGCCTGCACTTAAAAGCAATTGGCGCTGACAAAATTACCACCTGTCAGCTGCAAAAAGCCACCTTACTGGGATCTGCACGCATTATTTGCCGATACATCACACAGTCCTAGACACTTGGGAAAGGTCCGACGTGTGATCCAATTCAATAGCCAGCAGAGTGCTGCTGTGGATACATCTTGTTGTGTTTCAAATAATAATAATTTTAATATATACCCCGCCACCATCTCCCCAGAGGGGGCTCGGGGCGGCTTACATGAGGCCAAGCCCGGTAATACAATTATAGCATTATAAGTACTGAACGGTAAAAATAACATCGCAATAAAACAAATAAAACATAAGAATACAATAAGCAATACAAAATACAAAGTGAAAAATCACACGCAGTGGGCGGGCCAAATGTACGACATAAAATGATAAAACTCTGGAAGAGATAACAATGAAAAAGATGTATTTGTAAGGGAGGAGCTCATAGGACGGAGGTTTAGCACAGCCGGCAAATCATCAGCAATTGTAAGATCTATCAACCAAAAAGTTGCAAGTTCAAATCTCGGGTTTGGCGTGAGCTGCCAAATGACATCCTAGCTCATTGTTTACCTAAGCAATTCAAAAACAGCTTTAGCTGTGATTAGAGAAATTGGGTACCGCTAAAAAGCAGGGGAGGTGTTTTATGATGCCATAAAGAGAAAAGATCAGAAAATTCTGGGCGAAGGAGGAGGAAGTCCTGACAGCTCTTCGTCATAGAGAACAGAGCAACAGCACCCCCTGGTTACAAGCCCAACTTTCCATGGCATCAAAAACAGCTGGACACTGAATCTAAACAAACCACCTCCTTCTGTTGTCTGTCTGTCTGTGTATTGTCTATACAAAACAGCATTGAATGTTTGCCAAGTATATGTTTTTTAAAGGCTTGTGTGTTATTGTTTATACGTGAGTTATATTAATTGTATTGTTTTTTGCTTATTGCTTTTTGTTTTATTGATGTGTTGTCGGGCTTGGCCTCATATAAGCTGCTCCGAGTCCTTTGGGGAGATGGTGGCGGAGTATAAATAAAGTATTATTATTATTATTATTATTATTATTATTATTATTATTATTATTATTATATGTACTGTGATCCACCCTGAGTCCCCTTCAAGGTGAGAAGGGTGGAATATAAATAAAGAGCTATTATTATTATTATTATTATTATTATTATTATTATTATTATTATTATTGGGGACGGAATAGTGGAGTCAGGTCTTAAGAAAGGTGGCGGAAATGTGATATAAGGGCAACATTGTGAGAGAAACAACAGGAAAGAAATATGTGGTCACTTTCCAAAGGCACATCGGAAGAGCCAAGTTTTTAGGTCCTTCTGGAAGGCTGCTAGGGTGGGGGCTTGCCTAATCTCACCAGGTAATGAGTTCCACAGCTGGGGGGCCACAGCGGAGAAGGTCAGAGAAGAACTCCATGGATGTTCAGGATGGAAGGGAGAGGATCAGGAAGGGAAACTAGTTTGGTCTGTTGCAAACTGGCTGGAGGGAATCTCGCTCCTGCCCCACCGGAGATTCCTTAGCATCTTGCCTTTGCATTTCCCATATCAGGAGACCGTGGGAGCCCTTACCTTGAACTTGCCTTCGGGAGAGAAGATGCTGACCCAGCGATTGTCATAGTCGGCAATGATGATGTCCCCATTGAGGTCCACCGTGACCCCCGTGGGGCGCTGCAGTTGCCCAGGGGAGCGGCCCCGCACCCCAAAGCGCAGGCGGAACTGTCCCTCGTTGGAGAAGATCTTGACACGGAAGCGAGAGAAAGAGAGATGCTGCATCACAACCTTGGCCAGACGAGGCAGCGCACAGCTACAGGCGCATGGACAGACAGAAGGATGGATGGATGGACGCTCCCTACCTGCACGCACTGGTTATTACTGTCGGCCACCACAATGCGGCCACTGCTGGAGGTGGAAATGCCCTGCAGATTAGTGAATTCGCCCTTTTCCCGGCCCCGGGTTCCTGTGAGGAGAGGTACATGTCAGCTGGAAGTGGTACAAGAAGGCTCAACACAACAGATGCTGTGACTGCTCCCGCCACTATTCTCCCCACAATGTGTTCGCTGTCGGTCCTTGAGCAACATGTAGTAGTAATAATAATAATAATTATAATAATAATAATAATAATAATAATCCTTTCTTAGAATCATAGAATCAAAGAGTTGGAAGAGACCTCCTGGGCCATCCAGTCCAACCCCTTTCTGCCAAGAAGCAGGAATATTGCATTCAAATCACCCCTGACAGATGGCCATCCAGCCTCTGCTTAAAAGCCTCCAAAGAAGGAGCCTCCACCACACTCCGGGGCAGAGAGTTCCACTGCTGAACGGCTCACACAGTCAGGAAGTTCTTCCTCATGTTCAGGTGGAATCTCCTGTCTTGTAGTTTGACCCTGAGCGAGGGCTGAGTAAATGACCTTGGAAGGCTAAATATGCCCAGCTCCTTAAGCCACTCCTCATAGGGCTTGTTCTCCAGACCCTTGATCATTTTAGTCGCCCTCCTCTGGACACATTCCAGCTTGTCAATATCTCTCTTGAATTGTGGTGCCCAGAATTGGACACAATATTCCAGATGTGGTCTAACCAAAGCAGAATAGAGGGGTAGCATTACTTCCTTAGATCTAGACACTGTGCTCCTATTGATGCAGGCCAAAATCCCATTGGCTTTTTTTGCCGCCACATCACATTGTTGGGGCGGCAAAAAAAGCCAATGGGATTTTGGCCTGCATCAATAGGAGCATAGTGTCTAGATCTAAGGAAGTAATGCTACCCCTCTCTTTATACCCCACTACCATCTCCCAAAGGCTTACAAGAGGCCGAGCCCAAGTACATCAGTAAAAACAACAACAACAGCAATACAGACAATAAATAAACTCATAAACAAAGCAATAAACAGTAACAATAACACCACAACGCATTAAAAACCTATGGCAGGGCCAATGTAATAATTAAAATTTAAAAAATGCTGGGCATGACCAGGTGACATATAACTGTCATGCGCAAACTGTGGCCTCTTATTGCACGGCCTTCTAGCAATGATTGACTGACACATAGGTGGAGCAATGTTAAATAGCAGCCACATCTATGGCCCAGAACAAAAGGGCTAGGCCTCAAAGGTATCCTCAGTGCCCCATGTGCCCCACCACAACCTCCTTGGACTGACCAACTCGGAAGATCAGCTCATCCTCAATGGGGTTCTCCTTCTTCTTGCCGCTGCTGTACATGCTGGAAGGGCGGCGCACAGCCTTTTGCCGGATGTGGCCGCTGCTGGGAGACTTGACGCGGCGCTTGACGTCGTCCGGGGAGGGCGGCACATCGGAAGCCTTGACAGCCTTGACACGGAAGGGACTGCCCCGGATCGGTTGCCCGTAGAGGTGGATGGAGAGGAGGTGGTCGCCCTCATGGCGCGGCGTGTAGACCACCTCGTAGGTGCCGTTCTTGTTGTCGACTACCTCGTGGTCCGTGGCGGTGCCGTCGGGGGCCGCCACCTCCGCCCGCAGGCAGGCGCTCCCGCTGCGCACCAGCTCCCCGTCCTTGTCCTTGGTGGTGATGGTGAGGGAGGCCGCCTGGCCCACCACCGCGTGGCGCAGGCCCTCCCCGGTGGCCACCGTCTTGTGGGCTATGGCGCTGGTGGTGAGCAGCACGCCCAGGTTGAGGATGGACTTGCGCACACCTTCCGTCTCCACCACGTAGTCCACCTGGGCATTCTCGTGGGGCCGCTCTGGGAACTCGCGCCCGGCCAGCTCACTCAGCCGCTCACTCATCTGCTTCTTCACCAGCAACACCTCCGTCTCCGAGCCGTGGTCCAGCGCCTGCTCCGTGAAGCTGCAGCTGCTGAGGATGTTCTCCTGGCCCTGGCGCAGGGTGTCCAGCTGGGCCTGCAGCACCTGCAAGTACGAGAGAGGATTATCATGATTTTTTATTATCGAGTCAGGAGCAACCACACAGTTGTATTACATTTTTAACAAAACAAACAGACAAAACACAAAGTTTGCAAGCTTGGTAGTTGATTAAATGCCCTTTGACCAGTATCTGGCCCCTTGGAGTGCCTCTGGTGTTGCTGCAAGAAGGTCCTCCATTGGGCATGTGGCAGGGCTCAGGTTGCATCGCAGCAGGTGGTCAGTGGTTTGCTCTTCTTCGCACTTGCATGTCGAGGATTATTCCACTTTGTGGCCCCATTTCTTGATGTTGGCTCTGCGTCTCGTGGTGCCAGAGCGCAGTCTGTTCAGCGCCTTCCAAGTCGCCCAGTCTTGTGTGTGCCCAGGGGGGAGTCTCTCATTTAGTATCAAACGAACATCACATTTTTATTTATATAGATTCTATGAAGTTGGGGAGTAGCTGTGACTGCATTTGTCCCAAGATCTCCCAACAACCCAATTGTGACCGCTTCGAACCACAAGGTGTCCAGAGTGGCCTTTCTGCCAGGGCTGGGCACATGACCTCACACCAGACCTCCAGGAAACGGCTCCTCCCAAAGCTGAGAGCTAGGAAAGAGCCAGGCCCCTCCCTCCAGAGCACAGCTGTGTTTGAACGGTGGAGGGAACGCCCTGTGTGGCAGAGGTGGGGTGGACCCTCTGTCGGAACTGGCCAATCACATCCAACCCTTTGCAGTCCCTGGGGTTGGGCAGCCGCCTCTTGTGAGCTCTTAAGAACTCCATCGATGGAACCTGCAAACTCTTTTAACAACTCCATGCGTCTGAGGAAGAAGGTTGTGACTGCGGAAGCTTGGGCTCTACCCACTTTTGTTTGCTTAGTGCGTCTCGAAGGTGCCAAGAGATGTCTTTCAGCAATGTTATAGAACAGGGAGAGCCTCCTTGTTTTGGCTGCCTTCCAGCAACGCCATTAATTGCACGAGACTCCAGAAAAGCCAGGGATCAAGCAGGGAATGATGCCGCCGGACCTTAATTCCTCTCTCTCTCTCTCTCTATATATATATATATACCAAAAACAAACTTCATGGGATGGAAGGAGCACACAAGAATGGGAGTGGGCAATCCTACAGCTCATTAGTCATCTCAAGAGAAAGGGATTTCAGGACAGCAAAGAAGAGAGGGCTTAAACTGTTGTGTTTTAGACTTCAAGACCCACTGAGAAGAGAAAGGAAGGGGGCCTTCTCCCCATGGCAGCCTCGTCAGAAAGATTAAAAATTAACTAGATATTTTAAATTACAAAAATGTGAGTCAAGTACTGAAGGGGTTAAATGGATGCAATGACTCGGCAAAAGCTGCAGTTCAATATAAGCAGGTGTGCCTGTAGCTTAGTAGCCGTCAGTCTGAGGTAAAGCTCAGTGAGAGAAAGGTCTCAGTCTGTGAGAGAAGGCCCCACAGTGTGAGGTAGGCCTTAGTCTGTGAGAGAAGCCTCTGTCTGAGGTAGGCCTTCGTCTGTGAGATAAGGCCTCACAGTGTGAGGTAGGCCTTAGTCTGTGAGAGAAGCCTCTGTGTGAGGTAGGCCTTAGTCTGTGAGAGAAGGCCTCACAATGTGAGGTAGGCCTTAGTCTGTGAGACAAGCCTCTGTGTGGGTAGGCCTTAGTGTATGAGAGAAGCCTCTGTGTGAGGTAGGCCTTAGTCTGTGAGAGAAGCCTCGGTGTGAGGTAGGCCTTAGTCTGTGAGAGAAGACCTCACAGTGTGAGATAGGCCTTGGTCTGTGAGAGAAGATCTCAATTGTGAGGAAGGCCGTAGTCTATGAGAGAAGACCTCACTGTGTGAGTTAGACCTTAGTCTGTGAGAGAAGATCTCAGTGTGAGGAAGGCTGTAGTCTGTGAGAGAAGCCTATGTGTGAGTTAGAGCTTAGTCTGTGAGAAGGCCTCAGTGTGAGAAGGCTTGGTGTGAGAACTTCGGCAAGAGAACTTCTAGGTTGAAGGCCTCACGTGTAAAGCTGCTATGTGAATCTATTGTGTAACTTTGGTGTGAGAGGAGGCTCTGTGAGAGCAAAGCTGTTTATCTGCATAAGAAAGAAGCCCATCATGGAAGCAAAGAAGGAAGTATAAAGAACTTGATTTGTGTTGTGGAAAACCTGTTCTTGTGAGTAGTGAAGCCATATTATTTTGCTATAAAGAAAAGCCTCTTATGGAAGATATAACATTGATCTCTGTGTTTTTGTTCTTTTGCTCACTTTGGGCTACTGGTGCTGGGTCACACTGCTGCTAATATGTTACTCTGCTATATATATTTATGAGGAAGGTCTTGTGTTAATAAGCCCACTCGCCCAACAGGCCTCACCTTCTGCTTAGCCCCGCAGAGGGCCTCCAGGTCGCGGACCAGAAGCCCCTTCCGCTGGTGGAGGGCTTTCTCCAGTTCAGCGAAGGTGCTCCCGATCTCAGCCACGGCGTCATTCTTGCGCTCCACCAGCTGCTGGCTGATGTCAGAGACCAGCCCGATGGCCGCAGTCAGCTGGGGCAGCCTGGGAGGGAGGGAGGGAGGGAGGGGGCAGAAGAGAGAGAGCCTTGGAAGGGTGGCCTCCAGAACCTAACCTGATGGCCACCCTCTCTGGAACCCCCACCATCGCCCGGGGCCCTACCGGCTCTTGATGGCGTCCAGCTGCTGCCGCAGAGAGGCCTTGTGCTGCTCCACCACATCCCGCAAAGGCACCGTCACATGCTCCCGGTGCTCAGCGGCCGTGCATTCGTGACACATGGCTGTCTCGCAGGACTCACAGTAGAATTCCATCATCTGCATGGGAGAAGGATAAGAGGGTGAAAATGGGCCTATTGTCAACAAGCTAAGAGAGAAGAGTGTGCTAGGGAGAGTGAAGAGTGTGTATGCCCAAGTTGGCCCATGCCTGGGCTAGATCCAGGGAAGTCATGCTACCCCTCTATTCTCCCTGCGGACGGGCACCAACCTTGCCTTCGTGGTTGGGGCAGGAGAGCGGCTTCCCCGGCACGGCGCTGACCGAGTCCAGCATGGCGGCAGCGTTGTCCTCGTGGCTGGCACTGTCGGGCTGGCGCTGGAGCACCTCCATGAGGTTGGTGATGAAGAAGTTGTTCTGGAGGGCGGCCACCCCCTTCTCTGGGAGGATGGAGGTCTGGCGGCAGACGGGGCAGGAGAGGGTCAGGCTCTGGGGCGGGATATAGTTCTGGAGGCACCTGGGGGGCAGAGCAGGCAGACCAGACAAGACAAGAGGGGGGGTCAGGCGGCCTAGAGCCCATTGCGGGGGGCAGGGGGGACTAGCGCAGAGGGGCAGGTGGGGCAGAGATGAAGCAGGGGGGAAGGCCAAGGGGAGGCAGCCTTGGGAAATGAATAAAAGAATGAGTGGGGGAGGGGGAGGGAGAGCGAGGGGAAGGGGAGACAGACACGATGGTGAGATGGCCCCAGTGTTGTACTCCAGAGCAGGAACACCTCTGACCTTAAACACCACACCAACTTGATATAATCAGCAAGCAGTTTATTGAAGAATAAATGTAAGCAAAGCAGTAAAATGGTAAAAGCAGAATAGTCCCAAGATAAACAAGTAGTCCATGAGCTTCAAGGCACAAGGTAAATCATGAGATTCAAAGGTACAAAATCCATGGAACCAGACAGCATGAAAATCCAATGCACAGATGAGCCTGGAAAAACTTGGTACGTGAAACTAGGAACACTTGGAAACAAGTCCATCATAAAATTCCAACGTTGACAAGACTGAGGCAACTCTTGTGTCAATATAAAGCATTTCCTGACTCCAGAATCGAAAGGAAAGGATTTCTCTTGCCCTTACAACCAGATAAGGAAGATGCAGAGCAAGAATAGGGCTCCACAGCCACATACGGACCCACAAGAATACTGGAAAACAATCCTCCTCAGAAAACGAGGGATCGCCTAAGCAAGCATCTTATCTCTCTTTTCCTACACACGAATTGACCTTCGTTGCTCCTGAGAACTTCACATTCTGCACCTGACAATTCATCTTCAAAAGACAGTTTCTCAGAGAATGACTGTTGACAGCCAGGAATTTGACCTTGTGAATCTTCATGAGACACCTCGGGCCTCTCGTCTGAGCTAAACTCAGGCTCAGGCAAACCCTCATCCCCATTGTCAACAGATCCAGGCCCAGAAAACTCTTCATCCTCATTCCCATCATGAACATCAGACACAATCACAGGCCGAACTACAACACCCAGGGCCAGAGACCAATGGGACAGGTGAGTGCTCTTCTAGGGTATTTGACCCCTGACTGACCTCTGCCTGGCATCTTCTCCCACTGACATGAGATCCCCATCTGCAGAAGGGATCTACAGGCTTAGACGCACCCTTGTAGCCCCACACATTTCAACAAAGGTTAATATAACTTATGATATAGTACAGTATATATTTAATACTAACAGTACAGGAACTGCGGTGGCGCAATGGGTTAAACCCTTGTGCCGGCTGAACTGCTGACCTAAAGGTCAGCGGTTCAAATCCATGAGATAGGATAAGCTCCTGTCTGTCAGCTCCAGCTTCCCATGCAGGGATATGATAGGAGCCTCCCACATGATGGTAAAACATTTGGGCACCCCCTAGGAAATTACATCAGAAGCAAAAACATCTGGGCGTCCCTGGGCAATTCACACCAGAAGCACCAGAAGCCAATTGTCACGAAAAAAAATGCTAACAGTATAATATACTGGTAGTGTATTATATATATTGTGGTATAATAATATAGTACAATATAATAATATATAATAATAATATACTAATTGTATATTATATATTATATGTAATATTACCAATAATGTTGCAGTATAGTGGTATAGTACAATATAATAATATAGAATACTAATGTTGTGCTATGATAATAATTTATTATATTTCCATATAATATTGACAGTAATATTATGGACTACAATATAATACTACTACTAATAATACAGTATAATAATAATATGGTCATGCAATAACTACAATGATTACAATCCCCGTTCTGCAGAAGGGAGGGCAGTGGGTGATGCAGTGCTGCTTGGGCCACCTCCCTCCTCGCCCCGACTGCCAGCCTTCCCCTTGACCCTCAGCTGCAGAGTGACCCCCACCCAGCCCACCCTGTGCAATGCCAGGTAGCTTCCCAAAGTGCCCAGAGGCACAGGTGAGCACAGCACCTGTCAAGGCAGCCAGGCGGGCGTGTCCGGCACCTCTCCCAGCCAGAGAACACAAGGCGTCGTCCTCTCTCTCAGCCTCTGAGTCATCCTCACTTGAGCCTCTGCGCAGCTGCCAACGGCTTCTGGCCTCCGGTGAGGTCAGTGCTTTGGCTGCTGCTGAGGCAGGTGGGCGGGTGCTGCCCTGGGGATTACAAGGTTGCAGGCCCAATGTCCGTGCAAGTAGCGATGGAGTGGCAGAGGGCACCAGAGGAGACTTGCCAGCCTCACCGGGCGACACTGCCCCTCATTCTTGCAAGAGGTGCAGGTTGGACGGTGGGGCTCAGCTGGTCAATGGCCATCGGATGGAAGTGCGGAGGAGGGACAGGTGGGAGGCGGTCGCATTCAGGGCCAGGTCAGCAAGGCAAGAAAGATGCAAACCCCCAAAACACGGCAATACGGAGTTCTTCCCTTCTCCACTGTTCTGTTCAACTGCTACCATCTTGGCAGGTAAAGGTCAAGGTTTCCCCTGACATTAAGTCCAGTCGTGCCCGACTCTGGGACTCTGGTGCTCATCAATTCTAAGCCAAAGAGCCGGCGTTGTCCGTAGACACCTCCAAGATCATGTGGCCACTGGCAGGACTGCATGGAGTGCCATTATCTTCCCGCCGAAGCGGTACCTATTGATCTACTCACACTTACATGTTTTTGAACTGCTAGGTTGGCAGAAGCTACGGCTAACAGCGGGAGCTCACCCCACTCTCCGGATTTGAACCTGTGACCATTTGATCAGCAAGTTCAGCAACTCAGCGGTTTAACCTACTGCGCCACTGGTGACTCCTATTATCTTGGAGCACCTGGGATTTGTCATTTAAGGAAGGATACGTCAAACTCTCCACCAGAGAGCTCTAGTGCCAAGGATCCACAACGTGATCAAACAACAACCACAACAACAATGATATTTCTTACCTGCCTCTCCTTGTGGCTTTAGGTGGCTTACAACATAGTTAAAAACACATAATCTAAACCAGCGGTCAGCAAACTAAGGCCCTCCAAGGCCACTTCCTTTGCCTCCGCCATAAATGTTAGACCAGTGCTTCTTAACCTGGAGGTCAGACCCCTGGGGTGTGTGTCACAACGGCGTTTCAGAGGGGTCACCAAAGACCATCAGAAAACGCATATTTTCTGATGACCTTAGGAACCCCTTTGGCAGAGAAGGCTGAAGATCTCTCCACCTGTCCTTCTCTTTTTGGAAACAGATGGCGAATCCTCCCACCAAAAGCCCTCCTCCGCTGTGATTGGCCGGCCTCTCAGCCGAGGGAAGGGCTGAGCAGGTGGGCTCCTTGCATGGCAGCGTGGTGTCAAATTCGTGCCAAGTTTGGTCCAGATCTATCATTGTTTGAGTCAACAGTGCTCCCTGGATGAAGGTGAACTACAACTCCAAAACTCAAGGTCAGTGCCCACCAAACCCTTCCAGTATTTTCTGTTGGTCATGGGAGTTCTGTGTGCCAAGTCTGGTTCAATTCCATCCTTGGTGGAGTTCAGAATGTTCTTTGACTGTAGCTGAACTCTAAATCCTAGCAACTACAATTCCCAAATGACAAAATCAATCCCCTCCCCAATTCCACCAGGATTCAAATTTAGGCGTATTTGATATTTGTGCCAAATTTGGTCCAGTGAATAAAAACACTTCCTGCATTTACATTGCAATTCATAACAGGAGCAAAATTGCAGTTGTGAAGTAGCAACAAAAATAATATTATGCTTGGACGTCAACACAACATGAGGAACTGAATTAAGGTTGAAAAACATTGCGTTAGACTGAGGGTCGCCCTGAACCTGACACATCTTGAAGGCCCACAACAGCAACAACAACAACAACCACACTAAATAACTTGACTCTCATCAGCCAAAAGCAGGACCAAGCTTCCTACTATGCTAGATGTGACCCCAGCATGCATCAGGTGTCACAAAAATTTAATGTGCAGATTTGAGAAATGCGAATTTAATATGATGTGCGGCAATGAATGGAAGAATGGAAGTTGTAGGAGTGGAGTTATTAATTTTGGAGACACCGGTATAATATTAAGGCCTGCAATGACTAACTACCTCCTTGCTGGACAGTAATTAAAAGTTGCTAATGAGAACTGAAAAGTAAACTCTGATAAGGGCTGTCACAATGGTTATTTCAAGTTAAGAAAATGTTTGCAACATTCCTTATGTTAAGAAGGATGTCAACATAAGATCAACACCAATCAAGAAGAATCAACATCTGGCCAGGAAACTGAGATGGAGCCAGGATGGAAGACCTCTGTCATTCATTTACAACTTTGGGGCTACATCAGCAGAATATTTGTATAAAAGACTCTATCTAATAATGCTCAAAGTGTGGCAGACCTGAGGAATCAGGTCCACCCGCTATGCTCTGCTCCATGGGATGGAAAGAGATCATGTACATATGGAGAGGGGCAGACCTGAGGAGTCTGTTCCACCTGCCTCTCTGCTCCACGGGAAGGGGAGAGATGGTGTATTTGGAGAGTGGCAGATCTGCACAGGAGCAGTCTGGTCACTTTGGGGCTTCTTTCTCAAGTGAGCTTTTGGAGTCTTAGATTTTGTGCAGGGAGTCAGGTTCTGCTGTTAGAAAACAGAGATCTGGTCCTTGGCATTGTGCTTAGGGAAAGAAGTTTTGGCATTTTGAAGTTATAGCGTTATGGAAGTTATGGAACTATACATTGGCAGGCTGCAGGAAAGCAGAGTCTGGCCTAACAGGTGCTTCTCCAAGGAGGGAGAAAAGGATATGGTAATATTTGAATGCCTGGGAATTCACACGTGTGGTGTGAATGCTTCGATGTGCTCTACGTGGGGCTGCCTTGGAAGACTACTCGGAAACTTCAACTAGTCCAACGGGCGGCGGCTAGACTACTCACGAGAGCATCATACAGGGAGCGTACCACTCCTCTGTTATGTCAGCTCCACTGGTTGCCAATCCAGTTCCGAGCACAATTCAAAGTGCTGGTTTTGACCTATAAAACCCTATAAGGTTCCGGCCCAGCGTACCTGTTCGAACGTATCTCCTTCTACGTCCCACCTAGGAGTTTAAGATCTTCTGAAGAGGCCCTGCTCTCAGCCCCCACGAGACTGGCGGGGACGAGGGACAGGGCCTTCTCGGTGGTGGTCCCCGCCCATGGAATTCACTCCCCAGGGAAATTAGGTCATCTTCATCCCTCCTCTCTTTTGGAAGGAAATTAAAAACATGGATGTGGGACCAGGCCTTTGGGTAATCTATGCAGACTTTAACGATGCCATGAAAATGGATTATGATCAAGTTTAATAGAGTCTACAGAACTCGGCGAGACAACGGCCTTTAGGACCAACCTTTAGGACTAAGGGCAGGTTGCAACCAACCTCCTCAAGGCTGTGTGGCTCATGGGCAAACTTTGGCCCTCCCTCCGGGTGTTTTGGACTGCAACTCCCACCATTCCTAACAGCCGGTAGGAATGTTAGGAATGGTGGGAGTTGCAGTCCAAAACACCCGGAGGGAGGGCCAAAGTTTGCCCATGAGCCACAGAGCCTTGAGGAGGTTGGTTGCAACCTGCCCTTTGTCCTAAAGGTTGGCTGCCTTCCCAATCAGCAACATGCATGCAGCTTAAGCATTTTAAGCCTCTGGTGCTGAGGTTCCTGAAAGTTAAGCATTTTAGTGAATTTAGAATATTTTTGCTCCTAGCTGCACATTTTGCTTGGGAAAGGCTTCCAATGCTCTTACCAAGAGGGTAGAAATATTCTTGCATAGCACTCCCATGCTTCCTACTCCCCCAAACCCCTCGCACACTACGGCCATTGATCGAGAACTGCATTCAGAGAGAATTCCAAAGTCTACGCGGGGGAAACAATGCACAACACGAAATGTTTCTGCAAAGAGCTGGAGGCGTCCAGGTCACAGCCCTGAAAGCAGATGTGCGTAGGATCCACAGAACACTGGAAAGCATCACAATTATCAGGAAGTGGATGTGAGGGGAAGGGGCATCCACACTTTGGAATTAATGCAGATCAACACCACTTTAACCGCCATGGCTCAGTCGTATGGAAACATGGAAGCTGTTGTTAACTCCCCAAACAACAAATTCCTTGATTCCATAGCACTAAGCCATTGCATTTAGGTGTGGTGTCAATCTGTATCTGTTCTACAGTGCAGATGCATCCAGTCCCAAATGCCCACTGAAGGCCAGAGGGCTGCCATCCCAGGATGCTTGCACTCCCCAGCTCCATTCCAAACCCCAACATGGTGCAATGTGGAGACATGGACGAGCAGACTATACCCATTCATGCACTTGCTCTATGCACATCATGGTGCATCCACAAATGCATTTGCACTACTCAGACCCATTCCAAACCCCAACGTGGCGCAATGTGGAGACATGGATGAGAAGACTATACCCATTCATGCACTTGCTCTATGCACATCATGGTGCATCCACAAATGCATTTGCACTACCCAGCCCCATTCCAAACCCCCACATGGCCCTGCCCAGTGAAATCTTTTGTGTTTTAATGTTTGATTTTATATTGTTGTGTCACTTATTATATTGGTTTTGCATTTTATGTATTTGAATTTTCCCACCTGAGGCACACCTGGGCTCCTGAGGGTCCCCCACCTCACCAACAAGGGACTCTCTTTCCCCCTCATGGATATATTTCCCTTTATGGACCTTCCTATGAATAATATGAACTATGGACACTGGGGGAGGGTAGTTGGGTTTACTCTCTGTATTATTATTTCCATATTTTCTCCTGTATTTCTATATTTCCCTTCATGTCTTTGACCTTGCCCTGACCCTTTTGCCCCCTTCCCCTCTCCTTGGGGGAAATCTACAAGGAAGCTGCCCTGCCTCTGGAAAAGCAATCAGCGATCAGGAAAAGACCCTTCTCTTTTGACATTCTTTGCGTGGACAATAGTAAAGGAAATCCTTTTGACTTCGGAGTTGGGCCACCATTAGGATTTCCATTTGGCAGACTTTTTAATCATATAACAATGGGGGGAATATGACCTTAGGAAAGTCCTCTTTTCCTCCAAGCCATCTTTCTTTCAAATCTTTCCACTGAGGACATTCACAAAAGTTTCTCCTTTGTGCCTTATCTGATTGTAAGAGGAAAACCTGGATTAAGCCATCAATGCTTATCACAGACCCATCTCAGGACAATAAAGTGGCTTCTCTGGAAGGCCGATCCCCGGACTCGATATTAAAACTCCATAATCCACTCCAGAATGCATTGTCTCCCTTCCTCCTGCCTCCCTCCCTTCTGATTCGCTGGAGCATTGAGGCAGCAGGAGCTCTGGTGCACCGCGAAAGCCCTGTGATTGGCCCTGATGCATGGGGGACGGCCAAGCCTCCTCCCAGCTGTTTGTGCGTCAGCCAATCCCCTTCGAGCTGGGCGGGAGGGGGGAGTGGGAATTTTGAAACTCACAACTCTGTATTTTCTATAAAAATGGCCTTTACTTCTGTAACCACATGCTCTGCTTGGCGAATGATTGCTGCATTGCATCCTTTTCAGCTGAATCGCAAATAAAACATCTCGGTGGCACTTCCTTCCACTTGGTGAGACCTTTTATTGGGAAAAATCAGGGATTGGGTGCTTCTCTCTGTCTCGCCAGGGTAACGAACTCTTTAAAGAGTCTGAGTGGTCTCTGCCTCCTGGCAAAGACCCCTAAATTCCTGCTCTATAACAAAGGGATAGACAGACAGACAGACAGGACCCTCCCCACATGGCCTCCTTCAGCAACTGGAGTGTGAAGGGTCCCTCCACACACACTCTCTGCCTCTCTTACCTCTCGCAGAAGGTGTGGAGGCAGGGCAGCACCTTGGGGTTGTGGTAGCGGTCCAGGCAGATGCTGCACACCAGGAACTGCTTGTCGATCTGCCGCACCACAGGGCTGGCGCTGGACTCCCGCTTCGCCATGGCTGAGGACGGGGCGGAGGGGGGGCTGCAGGAAAGGAAAGGGGGCGGCCTCAGGCCTGGCCGTAAGAGGGGGAGGCAGAGACGGAGAGGAGGGGGTTAGCATCACAGGGGCGGAAGAGAGAGACCCCTTTCCTTGCCCACTCCGTTAGCCCTTCCGGACATATCTCCCACGGGGTTGCCACAAGGAATGCCAACTCCAACCCACTTCAACTATAAAGGAACACCCATTCAAAGCACCCCCGACAGATGCCCAGTCTCCTTGTGGAGAGAAGAAGCAGGGTATAAATATAATAATAATAATAAGCATATTTATCTATATAAATAAAAATGTCATGTTCGTTTGTGGGATTGACATAACTCAAAAACCACTGGACGAATTGACATCAAATTTGGACACAAGACACCTAACAACCCAATGGATGTCCTTCGCTCATAAAAACACAGCAAAACGAAGCAGGAGGGACTTTAAAAGCTCAAAAAAGCTAAATGACGGAAAGCTAAATCACAATACAGAAAAAAGGGAAGAAAGAGGGAGGGAAGGGGAGAAAAGAAAGAAAGAAAGAAAGAAAGAAAGAAGGAAGGAAGGAAGGAAGGAAGGAAGGAAGGAAGTAGAGAAGGAAGAAAGGAGAGAAAGAGGGAGGGAAAGAAAAAGGGGGAAGGAAGGAAAGTTAGAGAGGAAGGAAGGAAGGAGAGAAGGAAAGGAAAAGGAAAAGAAGGAAGAAAAGAGGGAGTGAAGGAAAGAGAGAAGGAAGAAAAGAGAGACAGAAGAAGAGAAAGAAAAAGGGGGAAGGAAGGAAAGAGATAGAGAAGGAAGGAAGAAGAGAAGGAAAGACGGCAAGGAAGGAAGGAAAGAGAGAAGGAAAGGAGAGAGAAGCATGGGAGCAAAGAGAGAAGGAAGGAAAGGAAGAGGTAGAGAAGGAAGAAAGGAGAAAGAGGGAGGGAAAGAAAAGGGGAAGGAAGGAAAGAGAGAAGGAAGGAGGGAAAGAAGGAGAGAAAGAGGGAGGGAAGGAAAGAAGGAAAGAGAAGGAAGAAAAGAGAGACAGCAGAAGAGAAAGAAAAAGGGGGGAGGAAGGAAAGAGATAGAGAAGGAAGGAAGAAGAGAAGGAAAGACGGCAAGGAAGGAAGGAAAAAGGGAATGAAGGAAGGAGAGAAAGAGGGAAGGTTGGCCACAGCAACGTGTGGCGGGTACAGCTAGTTTATTTTAAATAAAAATGTAATGTTCTGGGTTGTTGTAGGTTTTTTCGGGCTGTATGGCCATGGTCTAGAGGCATTCTCTCCTGACGTTTCGCCTGCATCTATGGCAAGCATCCTCAGAGGTGAGGTCTGTTGGAACTAGGAAAAAGGGTTTATATATCTGTGGAATGACCAGGGTGGACAAAGGACTCTTGTCTGCTGGAGCTAGGTGTGAATGTTTCAACTGACCACCTTGATTTCATATATAGAATCAGAGTTGGAGAGACCTCCTGGGCATCATCCAGTCCAACCCCATTCTGCCAAGAAGCAGGAATATTGCATTCAAAGCACCCCTGACAGATGGCCACCCAGCCTCATAGAATCCAAGAGTTGGAAGAGACCTCCTGGGCCATCATCCAGTCCAACCCCATTCTGCCAAGAAGCAGGAATATTGCATTCAAATCACCCCTGACAGATGGCCATCCAGCCTCTGCTTCAAAGCTTCCAAAGAAGGAGCCTCCACCACACTCCCTCCAGGGCAGAGAGTTCCACTGCTGAACGGCTCTCACAGTCAGGAAGTTCTTCCTCATGTTCAGATGGAATCTCCTCTCTTGTAGTTTGAAGCCATTGTTTCGCATCTAGTCTCCAGGGAAGCAGAAAACAAGCTTGCTCCCTCCTCCCTGTGGCTTCCTCTCACATATTTATACATGGCTATCATATCTCCTCTCAGCCTTCTCTTCTTCAGGCTAAACATGCCCAGCTACTTAAGCCGCTCCTCATAGGGCTTGTTCTCCAGACCCTTGATCATTTTAGTCGCCCTCCTCTGGACACATTCCAGCTTGTCAATATCTCTCTTGAATTGTGGTGCCGAGAATTGGACACAATATTCCAGGTGTGGTCTAACCAAGCAGAATAGAGGGGTAGCATTACTTCCCTAGATCTAGACACTATGCTCCTATTGATGCAGGCCAAAATCCCATTGGCTTTTTTTGCCACCACATTACATTGTTGGCTCATGTTTAACTTGTTGTCCACGAGATTAGCATACAATACTCCAGCACACAAGAGTCCTTTGTCCCACCCTGGTCATTCCACAGATATATAAACCTTCCCATGGGAGGAGGGTGTTATTATACTATATTATATATATAATATAGTATAATTATATATAATATAATAATATGTAATATATAATTATTTCTTATATATGCGTGTGTGCGCACGCGCATATAATTACATCATTGTCATTATTGTTGTTGTTGTTGTTATTATTATTACTATTATTATTATTATTATTATCAACTTCCAAAGGAGGCCCAGAATGGGCATTCTCCCTCCTTCCCCTGAGGCCTTCCAATGGGAGGGGGTTATTATTACATTTATTTATACTATTATATGTTATTAAATATTATATTATTATTGCCTCCCCCCCTCTCTCTCCCTTTAGGTTTTCCTATTGTTATTATTACATTTATTATTATATATTGTTATATTATATTATTATTGCCAGCCTCCCTTTCTCCCCTTAGTTCTTCCGATGGGGTAATTACTATATGTATATTATTATTATTATTATTATTATTATTATTATTATTATTGACAACCTCCAAAGGAGGCCCAGAGTGGGCACCCTCCTTCCTTCCCCTGAGGCATGGGGGTTATTATTACTTGTATTTATATTGTTATATTATATATAAATACTATATTATTATTATTATCAGCCTCCCTCCCTTAGGCCTTCTAATGGGGGAATATTATTACATTTATATTATTATTATTATTATGCTTATTATATTTATTTGTTCAGTCGTTTCCAACTCTTTGTGACCTCATGGACTGATGATGATAGTGATGATGATAATGATTTGCAGCCTCCTTCCTTCCCTCCCCTTAGACTTTATTTGTTTGTTTGTTTATTTACTAACTACATTTATATACCGCCTCTCTCAGCCCAAGGGCAACTCGGAGCGGTTATATTTATTATTATATGTTGTTGTATTATCATTGGCAGCCTCATTCTCTCCCCTTAGGCTTTCCAATTGGGGTTATTACTAAATATATTATTATTATTATTATTATTATTATTATTATTATTATTATATTGGTAGCCTCCCTCCTTCTCTCCCGTTAGTCCTTGCAATGGTTACTATTATGGCTTATTGTTGTTGTTGTATTATTATTATTGACAGCCTCCCTCCCTCCTCCTCCCTTAGGCCTCCCAATGGTTATTATTACATTTATTGTTATTATTATACATTCTTATATTATATTATAATTATTGGCAGATTTCCTCCTTCTCTCCCCTTAGGCCTTGAAATGCTTACTATTTTACACACACACACACACACACACACACACACACACACATATATATAATGTGCCCCTCCCCTTTTAGGCCTTCCAATGGTAATTATTACATTTATTATTGTTGTTATTATTATTATACATTATTATATTATATTGCAATTATTGGCAGCCTTCCTCCTTCTCTCCCCTTAGGCCTTGAAATGCTTACTATTTTATATATGCACCCCACCCGTTTTAGGCCTTTCAATGCTTATTATTACATTTATTATTATTATTATTATTATTATTATTATTATTGGCAGCCTCCCTCCTCCCCTCCCCTTAGGCCTTGCAATGGCTACTATTACATTTATTATTATCATTATTATTATTATACATTATTATATTATATTATATTATATTATATTATATTATATTATATTATATTATATTATATTATAATCGTTGGCAGCTTAACTCCTTCTCTCCCCTTAGGCCTTCCTATTGTAATTATTACATTTATTATTATTATTACTACTACTACTATTACATTAGGTGCGCCCCTCCCCTTTTAGGCCTTCCAATTGTTATTATTATTATTATTATTATTATTATTATTATTATTATTATTATTGTACATTCTTATATTATATTACAATTCTTGGCAGTCTTCCTCCTTCTCTCCCCTTAGGCCTTGCAATGGTTACTATTATATTATATTATATTATATTATATTATATTATATTAGGTGCGCCCCTCCCCTTTTAGGCCTTCCAATTGTTATTATATTTATTATTATTATTATTATTATTATTGTACATTCTTATATTATATTACAATTCTTGGCAGTCTTCCTCCTTCTCTCCCCTTAGGCCTTGCAATGGTTACTATTATGTGTGTGTGTGTGTGATATGCCCCTCCCCTTTATTATTATCATTATTATTATTATACATTATTATATTATATTATAATATAATTGTTGGCAGCTTTACTCCTTCTCTCCCCTTAAAGGTAAAGGTAAAGGTAGCTCCCTGACATTAAGTCCAGTCTCTCCCCTTAGGCCTTCCAATTGTAATTATTACATTTACTATTATTATTATTATTATTACACATTATGATATATTACAATTATTGGCAGCCTCCCTCCTTCCCTCCCCTTAGGCCTTGCAATGCTTACTATTATATTATATTATATTATATTATATTATATTATATTATATTATATTAATGTGTGTGTGTGTGCGTGCATATATATGATGTGCCCCTCCCCTTTAAGGCCTTCCAATGAGGGGGGGGGGTTATGATTCCATTTCCTATTACTACATATTATTATCATCATTATTATTATTTGCAGCCTCCTTCTGTCCCCTTAGGCCTTGCAATGCTTACTATTATATTATATTATATTATATTATATTATATTATATTATATTAATGTGTGTGTGTGTGCGTGCATATATATGATGTGCCCCTCCCCTTTAAGGCCTTCCAATGAGGGGGGGGGTTATGATTCCATTTCCTATTACTACATATTATTATCATCATTATTATTATTTGCAGCCTCCTTCTGTCCCCTTAGGCCTTGCAATGCTTACTA